GTGCGTGTGGCTGTGTCTTCCTCTCTTCACATAAATTTCAAGGCACTGGCTCTCTTTCAGCCATCCCCTACATCAATATCTCCTTTATTCTGTTAGTCACCATCATCCTTGTCTTCTCTTCTGTTCCTAGACATCGCCTCTTTCTCTCTTCCCCTTCGCACGCTCCCCATATCTCCCCGCTCACTCCCCTCTAGTGTGCAAAAGGACTCAGGACCCTAAGTAGGTAAACAGCCTTCAGAAAGCCAACACTAGAGGGCGGAAAGAGGAAGGAAAGGAGGGAGGGAGAGAGGGAGGGAGGGAGGGAGGGAGAGGGAGGGAGGGAGGGAGGGAGAGAGGGAGGGAGGGAGGGAGAGGGAAAGAGAGAAAGAGAGAGAGAGAGAGAGAGAGAGAGAGAGAGAGAGAGAGAGAGAGAGAGAGAGAGAGAGAGAGAGAGAGAGAGAGAGAAAGGGGGGGGGGGGGCGGGGAGAAGGAATGAGGGGGAAGGAGGGAGGTAAAAGAGGAAAAAGGATGGGAGGGAAGGAGGGTGCGAGGTAGGAAAGGAAAGAGTGAGAGAAGGGAAGAGCGAGAGATATGAGGGAGAGGGGAAAGAGAGAGAGAGAGAGAGAGATAGAGAGATAGATAGATAGAGAGAGAGAGAGAGAGAGAGAGAGAGAGAGAGAGAGAGAGAGAGAGAGAAGAGAGAGAGAGAGAGAGAGAGAGAGAGCAAAATAAAGAGAGTGGAGGGGGGGGGGGAAGCAGATAGACAAACAGAGACAGAGAAAGCAGCCGACAGCGACAGAGACCGACAGCCAGGCAGAGAAAGAGATACAAATTGAGAAACGCCAGGAGTGCCGCAGCTGGTACAGCGTCTATGGCACATTGCCGTCATTAAGCTGCCACTTGAATTTGTGAGAATCCGCGAGTGTTTTGAGCTCATAAATACGCGTTACAAACCGTCACGGAGGGAGAGCCGAGACGGAGGCCGACGACAGAGAGTTCGTTTGTGAAAGTATCCGCCTTTCAGATACATATTTTTCTTTCTCCTTTCTCTCTTATCATATTTTATCCCTCTGTCCCTCTCTGACTCTCTCTCTCTCTCTCTCTCTCTCTCTCTCTCTCTCTCTCTCTCTCTCTCTCTCTCTCTCTCTCTCTCTCTCTCTCTCTCTCTCTCTTTCTCTCTCTCTCTAAATGGGTGTGTCACATGATATTCTAGTCAAATGAAAATGACAAGTGGCTGTCATACTATGAGTATGTAGTTTGATCTAATGCAAACAAAAGCGTGTGCGTGTCTGTCTGTCTGTTTGTCAAGTCACATATTTCCGGTGTATGTATCTACTGCAGTTTAAAGTTGTGGATATGACACTGAATGCGGGAAGTGATTAAATGACATAAAAATCGGATAAAAAAAAAAATACTACACAACGCTAAGGATTTCAAGCTTCCAAAAATAATCCAGGAAAATAATGACCCTGAAGTGTTTAATCCTTGTAATTAAACTAAAACTGAAACTGATATATCTTATTTCCTCAAAAAAGATTTACTATAAGCACATATCATTACAATTCGAAATCCGTCGAAGTCCAGGTCTCTCCATTTCCAAGTAAACCCCCAGCGTTGCCAATGAGTACTGGCCGTGTCGACTGCCGTAACGAAACACGTGTCAATACGAGAACGGAACGGAGTCGAAACTGGTCGATCGCACATTGATAACGCTGAGTGGTGAACCAGGATGTGAGAACGCTGGACTTCCGTGAACAAATACAATTATTAAGCGTTGGTAGAACTTCAAAGCAATATGTATATAAAATCACTGCAGCAGCGGGATAGGAACAGAATATAAACTTAAAATACTCTCTCGCACCTCAGTAGTCAAATGCCAAGGTTGAATGCGAAATGATGAAAAGGGATTTGCACGTCGATATCAAGGACGCACAGGATAAGTACGATGCAAAAAATTAAATGTATGCACAGTTTAAAAATATTGTGTAACTCAATTGAACAAAAACTGCATATGAAACAAGGCCCGTACATAAACTGGAGGAAAATACAGAATGGCTTCTAATAACGCGCATAAAACACGAGTTTAAGGACTTTATAAAGAATATAGCATTAACATTATAACTAGAAAATCTAAGACTTTTTTGGCAGATGAATAATTAAAATATATAATCACAAATGTAAACAAAATATCAAACTGATATAAAAAAATGAAGATATTGCTTACGGTTATCAGAATATGCATTGACAAAATATATCGTTTTCATTCTTTCTTATTTCTTCTATCTTTAACAAAAAATCAGATCAGTTCTTCATTGCTTAATTATACACTATTGTATTTCACAGTCGCTTATTAACGCTAGGAGAGCCTAAGAGACAATCTAACATACTCAAGTACATACCAATAGCAATATAAAACTACACATTCGTTTCCTGTTAAGTCTTCGGCAATTATCGGAAGGCAAGGTCAAAGAAAACGTAAAGAGAGCTGACTTCCAAGCGCCCGTGACTTCGTTAAAGTTTC